GACTGCTGTGGTCAACATATCATCCACTTTGGGATCAACTGTTGGTAGAGTAGAGGCGGGCAAACAGTACTATCCCTATAGGATTAGCAAAGTATTTGATCCATTGTCTTGTCGTAACAAATGTCTTGTTGTGGTCTAAACGCATAATCTTTTCCGAAGGCGTCCCTAAATATGATAACAAAACTATTGGCCTATGATTTGAGTGAAGACCACATCCATGTGATTGCTGTACACCCGGGTTGGGTCAAGACTGACATGGGCTCCAAACAGGCACTACTGGAGCCAGAGTTTGCCGTCAAGTCTCTGCTCAAAGTCATACTAAACATCGACAGCTCACTGAGTGGTAAACTAATCAATTATGATGGAAAAGTTCTTCAGCTCTGAATGATATCCATTTTATAATTGAATGCATGCATAGGAATCGTAACAATAATTATTGTCTAATTTATAGTAGTTTGTCATCAATTGTGTGATATTATGAAAATAGTTTTTATTCAATTATTGGTCAATATATTAGTCAAATATAAAAATAGTCAAATAATTTATAAATTAAGATTCAAACATGAAGTGTAGAAGTCCTGGAAGTCTTGCTCGGGGTTCAGGTGGTTGTCGAGCATTTGATTGCATTAATCTGTTATTATTTTCAATATCCAAACTCCTGGTGCTCTGATTCAATGATTTCATTTCAATACTTTGTTTTGAAGAGCTTTTCTTAGCGGTGGGACTCTTCTTGGATGTGAATGTTATGAATGCAAACAATGCAACGATTACTGAGACAACACTCACTCCTAAGTAGAGACTGATTAGTCCGCCGACGTATATCTGTATAATACAACCATTTATTACAAACAATTTTATCAATTATTTCAATCGGATATCCTCTCACATCACATGAATGAAAATGAATTAAATAGTCGTATAAAATAATGCAAGGATTTCACAATTGTATGCAAGAATTGTGGCTATTTTATAGCCTAAAATTATTTATAATGTATTAAAAGTGTAACTGACCGCCAATTCAACTGGCTCATATTTAGGCAAATGGACTAAAGTCATGTCCACTGACTTTGGGGGCATTATTCCGATTGTGAACCAATTGTTGTTCTCATAGTCCTCTTCATCCCTCTCTTCTGCACGTAATTGTTTGACTTCATAGAAGACATTCATGCAGTCCTCGAATTCTCCACACTTTTGTCGACACAACTCATCCAAAGAGAGGCCTTCTTCGAGATGTCCGGCGGGACTCTTCTCGTTCATCCATAGCTTGGAGAAGGAATAAGTGATGTTTTTTGTAGCGAATATGTCTCCCGGCCAGCCATCAGCCATCGTATAGGCATTCACTTTGCAATCGGACAGACAGTGGTCTCTGGATGTGAAGCCTTCTTGACTATAATTCTTGCATTTGGTCGCATAAGGAGGCGGTAATAAAGTGGTCGTTTGGCGCGTAAAACTCACTCCAATGAACTGATCGTTATTTGGATTTATTTGCTGAACATTATTGCCATCAGAAAACTGATGCAATTCTGTGTACAAACAACAGAATATTTAAGCATTCATTTAACAATCGTATGTTGAAAACAAAAAACTTTATTACCTAATGGAGAGTGAATATAAATGAGACCATTGAGTACATAATCTCTATTTATCCTAATCCATGCTAAGTGTTTCAGATTAGCGGCTGAATCACGTTTTATTTTATATTTATTTTGATCGTAATCATTGACATTATTATAGAAAAGTGTATAACATTTGGTGTCAAAAGAGATGGTTTCAACGATTTCTGAAATAGCGCTGCAATTGATTCTGTTGTAGCTATAAGTCAGACCATTCAGATAGCCTATAGGCGTCGGTACTTCACATTTATCGAAGAATTTTGCGGCACTTATAGTGTATTTATGTTGCATATGAATGGGTAGTCCTCTCAATGGTTCCTTAAGTAACTCACGAAATGCTTTCTTTCTTAATAGAAATGAGACTTGTCTTTGAGTTTTGCCTATTTTTGTGTCAAAAGAGTAAATGATTTGAAAGTTTATACTAAAGACAAATATGAATGCGATATGTCTTAAGAATGGATTCATACCATGAAGTATATGGAAGAGCGAGGGCTGAATCTCGACAATCTTTTCAGCCAATATTGTGGTCGAAATCTCGGTACAAATGGTGATTCCCGGCAAATGAACGTTTAGTGATCGACCTATCCTTAAGTCAATGGTCGTGGGGTACGAGAGATACAGAACTCCGACGATATATACCTGATATGAACACACTGTGAGACACGCCAACGATATCACGATTTTTAGTAAAATTCGGAAACTTTTTCTGCAACCCATTTATAACAACTTATTATTTAAATTTAATTTAAATACTAATTCATTTTAATGGGAAGAAATATAAGATTTTAAGACACCAATTCAATAAATGACTCAATGATATGTGTCTTATAGTAATGTACATTTTATATAACAATTATTATGTTTAGTTTTCACCCATTCTTGCTATGGATTCCAAATTAAAGTATTTGTTGATTAACATCAATGGAGTTATACTTTATTTACTTTATTTACAGTTATCTTTAATTCGAAATGAATAAAACGATACTATTATTTAATTATTTTGTTATCATATCAAAAAGGTATGTACACCTGATATGACTAATTGTTACGTTTTCTCTCTCTCTCTCTCTCTCTCTCTCTCTCTAAATTATTATATAGTAAAAGTTATTCTGTACTCTGATCATTTAAGTTCTTGAATTTATTATCAAAACATTTTTACACCTTTTTATGGTATACTAAATTTAGGAGTTTTTTATTATATAATGAATTTATAATAATTATATGTTAATGATGATGAATAATTTAATCAAAATTAAACCTATAAACCTGAGTATAATTAATTTTAATTTATTAATATTTTATAAGTTTTTACACAATTTTAACATTAATAAAATTAGTAATTTCTTTATAAATGAGAATAATTATGAGAAATATCTAAAACAATTGTCCAATCATTTGAACCACCGGTGCTCCAGCACTTGGACCATAGTATAGCGCTGTTTAACGTTGGGCTCGAGTTGCTTTTGGATGAGCTCTTTGCACTCAGGGGTCAGGGATTTGCGGTCAAAATTGATGCTCTTTTCCAACTGGTGTTTCAACAGATCTTTCAAATTGTCGTTAACGGCAACGAATGGCAGTCTGTTGTTGACCAACACATATCTAATTAACCAAGAATATATAATCAGTATTCTTAAAAAATAAATAATATATTATATTTAATGTTTCAGTTTGATTTACAGCACCACTCCCATCGACCAGACATCACTGATCATCGGGTTATACGGTTCCACTTTGAGTATCTCTGGAGCCGCGTAGGCAGCGCTGCCGCAGTAGGTCTTACTCAGGACTCTCTGTCCGGTGGTGTTGTCGAAACAGGTGCGCGAAAAGCCAAAGTCACCGATTTTGGCAATAGTTCTGTCTTTATTCAGCAGAATGTTCTCACTCTTGATGTCCCGGTGCGCGAAGCCCTTCGTGTGGATGTATTTGATGGCTTCGGACACCCCTTTATACAGCGGTTTGGCTCTGGGCTCAGGGATGGCCCCGTCCTTCTTGATGAGGTCCAGTATGTCTCCGCCGTCCGCCAAATCCATGAATATGTAGATTCTGTCACCGATTGTGGAGATGTCATGGATTCCGATAATATTCGGGTGCTTTAGTTTTGTCATTGTATACAACTCTCGCGGTAGGAATCGCTTCTGATAGTCTTGCGACGACTGTTTCATATCAATGATCTTAACGGCGACCGGCTTTGTGCCCATAGTGGCCCGACACACCTTTGAGAAACTGCCACTGTTGAGCACCTGACCCACTTTGAGGCCCTTCTTACTCAGAAGGTCCACATGTTCTGCCGGCATATTCATTGTCTTTGAATCATTACTATCTGAACTCGAAGTTGATTTGGTGGCACCGGCTGATGATTTAGTGGCACCGTCTGATTTAGTACTGGGACTGCCATTAGATTTATTAGATCCGGACATCTTTAACTAATTTTTTGACAATTGAGTTAAATATGATAAGTTAGGTAATTTTAAAATTGTAACGGAATTTAATATGAAAAGTGTAACAATGGTTACTGTCTAATGTAACGCTATTTTATATAACTTTATTTGATAAAACAAAGATGATTTACAATATTCAATGAAACAGTAATTAAAGTAAAATGATAATTATTAAATAAATTAGAATTTATAATAAAAATAAATTTAAATAAAGCCTCTCTTTCGTAGAAAAATTATTAGTAAAAAGTAATTATAAGCCCAACCGCAAAGGTATTTATAAAACTCGTAATTATTCATTGGATAAAATTTATAACAATAAAAGCCAATTGACTTTCCGGACAACTTCTCGATAAAGGCTATGAGTTTGAGCTTAATTTTTACGGATAAGTTTGTATACTTAAAGAATTTGTAAATATTCTTAAGCTCTTTATGAGCGGATGAGGTGACAGAAGCACACAATAAATTAATTATCAAAACAGCTGAAAAACAGGCCATAAATATAATGAAAGTACAATGTTTGTATACTTAAAGAATTTGTAAATATTCTTAAGCTCTTTATGAGCGGATGAGGTGACAGAAGCACACAATAAATTAATTATCAAAACAGCTGAAAAACAGGCCATAAATATAATGAAAGTACAAATCCTTGTGAATGTGTGAGAATCGGGTGCGTGCGAATATATGTGGTTATATAAATTACGGCCAAAACTTTTATATATTTTATAGTAATATATCATTAATTTGTAACTTAAATCAAAACGACAATATTATGTATCTCTTAACACAACTCTATTGTTAGAGGAGATTGTCGACATGTCTTTTGTTTGAATGCAATATCTCATTGAGTCATTCAGTTGTTGAAATTGATATTTCAAATGAATGAGTGATAAGAAAAATAGCTTGAAAACTGAAACCAAAACTGCATTGAAATCAAACAAAAATATCAGGGTCCAAATGGTCCAGAATATGATGTAATTGAGATTATAATGAGAATCTGCGAAGAAATAGGCAGCAAATGGTGGGCAACAGAACACCAGAATTGCTTCCAACCAAAGGGTATACACGAGAGGCCACGACATGTGTTTTGACGTCAATCTTAAGAACTTTGTGAATATTCTTCGGTATTTGTGTTTGAGTTGATTGCCATCAGAATGATGTTGAATATTATATAAGTAAGAAATGGCTGATAAATTGGATCTCACATCCAGAAGCTGTGTCAGCCCTCCAATCATTATACTGGTAATTAAAGCCCCAGAACTTGTGAGAAGTGATATTAGCATTTGATTGCCCAACAAATGGTTGGCGTCGCTCATCACTGTCAGCACATCACCACATAACTTATGTCGCCTGTGAGGCTTGGCCTAATCTCAGTGTTCTCTACGTTTGAAATACTTCTCAGGTTATTAATTCGCTGCGAAAACTCCACGTAAAGGTCAGTACATATGAAGTTTACTACGAGAAATCATATTAAATGATTTTGTTAATAAATGCTCCAAATTTGTAAAATCAATTGATTCCTGTTTTTCAAACAAGGCTTTTGGTACATTTTTACTATATTTCCAGTCATGTATACTTCAAATGATGGAGAAATCATATTAAATGATTTTGTTAATAAATGCTCCAAATTTGTAAAATCAATTGATTCCTGTTTTTCAAACAAGGCTTTTGGTACATTTTTACTAATATTAATCCTGTTTGCCATTTTAGACATATTTTTACTGAATGCATATATGCCTATTCATGTTTTTAATATTTTATAAACAATATTATAATGTAAATAAAACATCATTACATTTGCAATTGTTTTTGGTATTCATTTAATGTTCTTTTAATAATGATTTAATTTATTTTTAAACTGAATTAAATAAAAACACAATCAAAACTTCATTAAAATTGCATGTAAGAAGTACTTATTAATAGTAATGATTTTCATATATAATATTGATTACTGAATTTTGTGTTTATTATCAAAACTTTTATATTTTAATGTTAAAATCTTTATTATCATATATTCAACCAAGTAAACAAAAGTTTCACTAATAATCTACAGATTCTGTACTACATTAACATATGATTTATACTAATATATGCATATATGCATATTCATGTTTTTAATATTTTATAAACAATATTATAATGTATATAAAACATCATTACATTTGTAATTATTTTTGATCTATAGTAAATCGTAACATCAAAAACAACTTTGCGTTTCAAAGACCTATAATGAAGGGACCCAGAAATGTGCCCCAATATGCCAGTCTCCCTTTCGGGTATAGAGGCCCTCCCCGTCCATTACGTTATTCCCCACAAATACCTCTCCAACAGAATCTGAAATCAAATGTGAGATCAAATAATTATATACTACCAGAACTACCAAACAATGTTAGGCAACCGTTCAATAGAAATCCAAACCAATTTCGACCGCAAGTAATACAGAGTTCTGTGTCTCAACAAACTCATGCAAAACAAAGTATTCAAAACTTACAAAACTTTTTGAATTTACAAAATATTCAAAAGGG